TATATATATAATTTTCATCAGAGTCTTACAACTACATTTTTAAAAAGTTACAATCACTCCAAACAGACTTATTTGTATTAAGGAACACACCTATTATTGTAAGCCAAAGTTATTTCTTACTCAAATTTTTATGGTTGACCATATAAAATAAAAAAAAATAAAAAAAAAATTATTATAATTTTGGTTGACGAAGTTTTTTATTATACATTAAAATTTATTTTAAAATCTAAAAAAAATAATTCTAATATTTAATGAAAATTTAGATGATTAATTAAGAAGATTAACTTAATAACCTAAATGGTTTAATTACTAATCTAATAGAAGTAGTGGTATATCAATTATCGGGCAAGAACATTTGTACATGGAAACAATCACAATCATAAATTCTTGAGAAAAGTCGTAGAAATAGAACGAACATCAGATTAAAAAAAATGCTTTAATTATAACTGTAAACATTTAATCTTTCGTATTCTTGAATTTGAGATTGTTCAGTGAATAACATTCGAGAAATATTAGGTAAAACAAGAGGGGGAGATGGAGAATAAGAGGAGTGCTCTGTGACTTATTCCTCCTCTGTAAACAGGGCTCTTGTACCTCTTTTTATGTCGTTGAAGGTAGAGGTTACTAAAGAGGAGTAAAAAAAAGAGAGCCCCCAAAAGCACCAAATACATAATCGGGTCCTCTTATTTATAGACGATAGAGGGACAAATTATAAAATTGCATGTTTTGCTCCCGCTTTAGGGAGGTTGTACAATGTATTATAGTTTTTTTTGCATATTGAAGGATTTCACTCGACAACCCTTCAGTCATCTACCTGGCCTTTGCTCGGTTGGCAGCCCTTTCGTTGCCGAATGACTTTTAGTTGTCTAACTTATTGTCGGTCATCTGACTGCCTATGGTCGTTTGATTAGCCTTCGGCGGTATGACTTGCATTCGATCGTCTGACTGACATTCAATCATTTGACTGGTGTTCGGTCGTCTGACTAGGTTTTGGTCTTCTGACTGGTGTTCAATCATCTAATTGGCCATCAGGCTGCTAAAGCCCTTTCCGCCAGCCGAGCTAAACTCTCGACACTATTAGATCTCTTCATGAGCACATGTTTATGGTACATATTAAGTTCTCTAATTCACTTACTTCTTGGAGGCAAATATTCGATAAGAATGAGAGAATTTTTAAGGCAAAAAAATATGATGATATTTGCCAATGAATTACGAGTGATACTTTATTGGTTTCGGCGTCTTTTTGCTTTGTCCTGTTGCTCCGAGGTGCTCTCCTGAAGCTTTCGGCCGACTATAATGCCCTTCAATCGGCCGAGCTAAACTTCAATCAGTTGAGCTGACCTTCGGCCAACCTCAACCGTCACTTTGACAATATTCTTATTTTGTTCTTTTTTGCATTTAAGAAAATGCAAAGAAATGCATTGTAACTTTTTTGAATATAAATTAGAGTGTAGGTTTTAGTTGTTTTTCACCTTTGATTTAACACTTTATTTCTACCACGGTATTTGTTTGTGATAATTGTTTCATGATCAATGTTGGTGTTGGGTTGACTTTGATCTTAGAAAGATCGTTGGTCATTTTTTTATGTCACCGGCCCACACAAATATTATGTCGCTTGTGGCTCGTTTGCTCGGTCTGATTGTCACATTGGTTGGGCCGCGCTTTCGTAGGGTTACCTCAGAGACTCGCTACTAGAGTGATTTATGTATTTATCCTTCACGAAGCTTGTCGTTGCTATATAGGGAACCACCTCCAAAGCTTTATCCGTGTTAATATTTACATGATACTCTAGTTTTTTTGCATATCAGAGCCTATGGCTTGGCACCCCTTCGGTCATCTAACAAGTCTTCAGTCGGCTAGATGTTTTTCAATCGTCTGATTGGTCGTTGGTCATCTGATTGGCATTTGATCGTCTAGCAGGCGTTCGGTCAGCTCGCAGTAGCTTGTTAACTTTTCAACTCGACAGTTGATGCTTTGCAGTTTATTAACTTGTTAGTTCAACAACTCAATAATTAGTATTCAACAACTCGTCAACTTGACAAGATAACCTAATAGGTCAATGAAGCAACATAATAGAACAACTCAACAAATCATCTTAGGGTTATACAATAAAGGCATTCTATTTTCCAAAATATTATGTATATATATATATTTAATTTTCTCATCCTAATAAATTTATTTGTGGAGAATTAAGAAATATATGATTATATATACATATATATATATATAAAAGCTTCTCACCATAGGGAACTTTTAAAAATTAGTAAAAAAGCTGTTCTTCATATAGAGTTATGATAATGGTGTGAAACTCAAAACATGCAAAAATTTATTCTAAACGAACAGAGGATTTACAAACATACCACATTCTTATGTGTTTATATATCTAACATTTAAAGTTCAATTTTTCCAGGGCCATTTGCATGCATATCACATAATTCAACTTACACTTCTATCATCGTATGTCCACCGTCATTATTTGACTATCATCCTAATTATTATGTTTGTTTATCATCTTTAATTGTCATCACCTTACTTATAATTGCATGACTACTATCAGTTAAACATCATTTTTATATTATCATAATATCTAATCATTGTCCTTTAATTCATGTCCACTCTCCACTACTTTAATTTTCATTATAACACACACACACACAATGTGTGTGTTAGCATTATCCATTGGTTGCGTCATTTGGTGTAAGTCCCTCGAGTCGGGGGTTTGATTCCTGCGTAGGATCAAATTACACATCTTTCTGGAAGGAGGGTCATCTCTGGTTCAGACTATGGGGTTGATCAGAGATCAACTTTTTAACACGCACGCGCGCGCGCACACACTTTAGTTTTGTGAGCACACAGCTTTATCTTCGTATGTGGAAAATATATAATATTCTAATATCTTATAAAACAATTGAAAGAATTTTCATTTTCGAAAATCATAGAAACATAAAATTAAATTAAAAAATTAAAAAATTAAAAAATAAAAAACTTTCCAGTATGTAAAAAAAATTAAAAAATTAAAAAATTAAAAACTTTCCAAAACCCCTCCAAAAACCTAAACGCCGGGCCTCCAGCCCCCAAATCGTCGCCACCTTCCATCCACTCTCATGGGTTGTTCCCTCCACCCTGCTCATTCAATCCAACTAATCTCTTCAACTTCTCCCTCCTTACCAAAGCTCATCTACCCATGGGTCTCCGTTCCGTCGAGCCACTTGCAGAGCTTCCATCGTAGAGCTCGTTCCACAGTGCGGTGCTCGTTATCTTTCGACCCGGTGGAGTCAGCGAAGATCAAGGTGGTGGGTGTTGGAGGCGGCGGGAACAATGCAGTCAATCGTATGATCGGGAGCGGGTTGCAGGTTTAAATGCTTCTCGAGCTGTTCTTTTAGTTTTCCTTGCTGGTTTTACTCGGAGTTAACTGGACTTCAGAAGGATTTCTTCGATACCTAGAAGTTGAAGTAAAATTATTGTCACTTCGTACAATTCTCTTAGGTTCCTGTTTAAAATTTATTGATTGATTTGTCTTTTAGTGAAATTTCTGGTACATTAGTAGCAATGCTCTGTACATCATTTGCAATATGCTGTAATTTGTTGTAGCGCGTGATTAAGAAAATGAATAGGTGGTCAGTGTGAGATATGTCATATTATATTTTTCTGAAAGATGATTGTTAAATTCTATGATAGTTTCACTCTTCTTTTTTTTATTTCCTTTTATTTTTAGTGTAATTGTGTTGGCTTCCTTCTGAAGTGTTTGCTCTGTCCGAATCATCATTTTTCTTTCATTTCTTGCGAGCATTGCTAATGGTATTAAAATTTTAAAACTGTTATCTGCAAATTATTTTGAATAACTTATATTCATGTTTTCTTATATATTCATACTCCTTAATTTTATTGTATGAAAACCTTAATTTCTGACTATTTGCTTTTCTGTCATTTATTATATGCTGAGCTTGAATCCATTCTCAGCCCATCCTACAAGTCCCTTGAAATCATCTCATAATTTTGTTTTCTTTCCTTATCAAGTATACATTATAGAAGTTCATTCATCTCTTTCACTATTGATTTTAAAATATTTTTTAATCTAACGGAATAGGGTAAACAATAACCACATTCATAATGTCTTCATCGATAAATTATTTACATGTCTGACCCCTATACTTTACTTTGTGCATTTATACCACTATACCACTCGAATCTTTACTTTGTGCATTTATACCACTCGAATCTTTAATATCACATAAAAAAATACCACCATTTTAACTTTTAAAATGTGAAATACACATTTTTATCCATAGGTAAGGTGGCAAGCATGTCAAAATTGAAGTTTTGGTGCTAGATTTGTACATACATAGGAATTGAGTGGCATGTATTTAAATCTTTCCTTTTTTTTTTCTTCATTTATCATTTTTTAAAACAGGCATGAATTGTCTATCCTTCTTTATATGCTTGCTCAATGCAGGCACTCTAAATGATCAGTTTCCATTCGATATTCTTTGGCAAAATAGATGTAAAATTTATCTACAGAAAATTTACTCTAATTTTTTTTGTTGATTATCCCTCTTATATTATTCTTGTCATATAAGAACACTTTGATACTGCCTTTTGCCTGTAAAATTCTGTTGGCTTGAAGTTTGTTTTGCTTTCTACTGTGTATTTTAACTTTGCACCCTGTTAGTTGTATTTATTCTATTGTCATGCTGCTTTGTTTAGAGAATTGTTACTCTTAAGTTGCAGTGTGTCACTTGTGTTTTCATTTTATTTACAAGTTTAACTGCATTATTGTTATTAATCACTTTGTGCCCAATTATCATACTTAAAATTTGATGTATTATTTCGATTACTAGATTTAGAATCTTAGATTCCAATTTTACTTGGTGTCTAACCAATATTATACCATGTTCCAATTAAAATTCTTAGCTTGGGTGCGGATTTGTTCCAAATGATGAAGAACTATCAATGGGATGGGATAATTTTCACGTATAAAAAGGTGTATTTTACTTTTAAAAAAGTTGTGACCTTGCATGATTTGAGTGGTATGCATATAAAAAGTGCCCTTTTCCTTTTTGTTATTTGTTTAGTCTTTCTGCTAGTTATCTATTAGTTTAGTTGTTGTGCAATGCTATTTCGGGCTTTCTGTTGGCTTGTAAAATCAGGTTTTTGCTGAGTTGTTCTTTGGGCTTTGATTTGAGCCGAGACTTGAGCTTGTTGATTTGATTTCTTGGGCGCTATAGTAGGTTCTGAGTTAGCGTTATTTATTTGGGATATTTGTATTTTTTCACTGTTGAGGGATTATATGATTATAAATAAGGGTATATTAAGCATTTAAGAAATTGTTCTGATAATATTTTCTTTGATTTAATTTGTTTGATCTCTTTGCTTCACCAATGATTGAATGCATTTTTTTCAAGCATCGTGTAATTGGTGTTGCAAACATTTGTGAAATCTATCTTCTTGTATCAGTGTGAGATTTGGATTGTTGTTTTGATGATTTTATCATCAATCTTCTCTCGTTCTCTGATTTACATAATTGGTTTGCCTTCATGATTGCATTGTGTGAATTATAATTGAAGTGTGCTTTTTATGCTCTTAAATTTTTTTTTCATGATTTATCTTAGAAGACTATGAAAGTATTGCTTGTGCAGATTTTGCATTTTCTTAGCTTTCTCCTAATTATAATTGCCTAAATTAGTTTTTTTCTAATTGCAAATTTAGAGTGTGATATTGTGCATTCCTTCTTAGTTCTGCATTTGAAAACATTATTCCTATAATGTTCTACATCATATTTGGTATTAGAGCTTAAGATTGCATCTTATCAATCAGCAGTAGTATATGATAATTGATTCAAGTAGCAATACAATTAAAGATTTGAAACAAATTCCACATGTTTTTTATGAGGTTTAAAATTTCATATCTTCATTTGTCGAGGGGTATGAACTTAGAGAATTTTCAATTTGGATCTATAACTAAGTTTGCTTAGTATTTGAGTTGGAGATATGCAATTTTAAAACTACATGATAAAGTTATTGCCTATTTTCAATGTTCCATGAGGGCCTTAAAGAAATTAACTTCTAGGCAAGTTAAGGCAGTCTAAGTTCATGCACATTAGAGTGGATCAAGGAAATTAGTAAATTCTTTTAAGTTAAAAATTTAAAGGAGTTTTAGTCTAATCTTCAATATATATGATTTGACTTTGTGCTTAAGTTATCACTAACAATCTTTTTTTTATTTCTATATTTCCATCTCCTCGCTTGGAATATGCATCCAATATTTTTCTACATTGTTCTACATTTTTTGTTCAAGAGCCAATATTCGATGATGATATTGTGTCTAATTGATGATGGATATGGAAAGATTATTGTTCGATGGCATGATTGGTCTACATGTGATGATTTATAGATTGTTCTACCGGAAGTGCAATAGTTATACCAATATTCGCCGGAATAATAGCATAGGTTCAATATTCTTTGGAAATAAATTTTGTTAAGATGAGCATATTTGATGCAAACTTCATTTTTTTTACTTAATAAAAACACATATTAAGATGAGTGGACCGACAAAGATTGATTTTTATTTAGTTTTTTTGTTTTTTTTTATTTTGGTAATACAATATTGATAAACATGCTCATGATGCTTCCAATATAAAGAACTTATGTTCTTTTTGTTTGTATCTCGATTTTGACCCTTGTTTGGTATTGCCCATGGTTTGATGCAACTGTTTCTTGTAATAGTACAAATAGTGACTACAATATTTTGAGTAAGTTATCTCCTTTTATTAGTGTAAGGATTGAATTGTTTTTTTTTTGTTGATTTTTTTCATGCCCTTCTTTAATTCTCTAATTTTATTCATCGGTCTAATTGAATTAATGAATTTGGTTAAAACTCATTCAACATAGATTTTTTGATTGCGGGGCGAGTTTTGATCAAAGTGTGATTTTATATAATTATATATTTTTGTGTGATTATTTTAGTTGATTACTACATTATCTCTTATGTTTTTTTTTATTTTACTTTTTATTTTTTTTCTATCAAGGGATGAATAATTATCTGAATTAGACATTTATGAACTCTAAATATATCCTTATGTGCAAGATTTTGCTCCTCTCTTGTAGGTCTACATTTGGAAACCATAGGCTCTTAGATGTTTCACATCACAAAGATTGTCAAGAGGATATGATAGTAATCACATGGTTCTTGCAATCCAAAACAAAGGACATTCACTTGGGATCTGCATGATCCATTAGTTGACTACCGAATCATGAATAGTGCATTGTCTTTGATTTGGGGAAAGTTGGACTTACAAAATTGCATTTATACCTCCATTTGTTTGGTTAGTTTGATATATTCTTTGAAATTTTGCATTTGATTGCTTTATAAAAAAGTTACATAGTATGTACAAAATTATGCCCTCAGGCATTAACATAATGAAGTTGGACTTATAAAATTGCTATGCCTCCATTTGTTTGGTTAGTTAGTTTGGTATATTCAGTTGAAACTTTAAGGTGTATATTGGTGGTGCGCAGTGTATCATGATTGTTTATTTTATATTTTCTCTTTTTCTCACCACGTTATTTAAAAACTCTTATGGCAGTTTTGAAAATTTCAGGGTGTGGACTTTTATGCCATTAACACTGATGCTCAATCTTTGCTGAATTCGCAAGCAAGTAATCCATTGCAAATTGGAGAACTTTTGACACGTGGACTTGGTTAGGCTCTCTTCGCTTATGTTAAATTTATCTAAAATTGTACTCATGTAGAAGCTCCTTTGAATTAGTGTTATAGGTAACAGATGCTTAATTTCTATTTTGAAGTTTGGTGAATCTCTCTCTCTCTCTCTCTCTCTCTCTCTCTCTCTCTCTCTCTTGAGCAAAGTGCCAAATTAGTCCCCTAACTATTTACATGGGGGTCATTTCAGCCCCAGAGTTTATAAAAGTACTAAATTAGTCCCAAGTCTATTTTAATGGGATTAAAATAGTTCTTCTTGGGGACTATTTCAACTTATATTAAAAGATTCAGGGTGGGTCAAAATTGATATTTTTATAAATTTTGGGACTAAAATAGCACTCTGCAAAGGCTCAGGGGCTCTTTTAACACATGTCCTCTGTTTTTTTGCTGCTTCAACTTGCTAAAATATATTATAGATATACAACCTATTTTAGTTGAACTTAAATCACTCTCAGTGAATCAGTGTGCATATTAGCAAGTAAATCTGCATGTTCTGATAAAAGTGCGAAGGTAATTCTGCAAAACAGGAAAGCTTTGAGACTGGATGACTGAAATATTTTCATGCAAAATATAAAATTAGAATATCTAAAGATTTCTTAAATTCAGGGACTGGTGGAAATCCTCTTCTTGGAGAGCAAGCTGCTGAGGAATCCAGAGAAGCTATAGCTAATGCTATTAAGGATTCAGATCTTGTTTTTATTACAGCAGGTATGGGCGGTGGGACTGGATCCGGTGCAGCACCCGTTGTTGCACAGATATCGAAGGAAGCTGGCTATCTTACTGTTGGAGTGGTTACTTATCCATTTAGTTTTGAAGGCCGCAAAAGATCTTTGCAGGTAAATGTGAAAAGCAGTCTTGTATCTAAGTTTTTTCTCAATTATCGACTTTATCTACTTAAAAAGATGATGTTTGAATTTTTGTCGCGTTCTAGCACTAAGTTTTATTAGGTCTTCTCTCTTTGTTTCAACTTTTTGCTACAAAGTAAGGCTTATTCAGTTTGGTTCATTGGAAATCGCAATTTTGTGGCTAGATGGGATGTAAGTAAGATTTTAATGATAAAAATAAGTGTCATATGAAATTGTTTTTAAAATTGTAGTTTGAGCCATTCTATTTTGTTTTTTCACTTTGCATTTGTGCTATATGTTTATTCTATAAGACGACATGTACTTCTAAGAAGATCAAATACTTAATGTAATGATCGTGGTGGACTTCTGGATATTGCTGAAATAGAGTGGACTCGATGTGATTTTATTATGAATCTATAAGATGTTAAGAGGATGTTTAGCAAATAAATGTGGTTAATTTGCGAGTAATAAACTTTTGATAATATTGTAAGTTTATAAATGCCTCAATTTAAAGAAGTTAAGATATGATGAATAATGAACGTGTTCTTGCTTTGCTTTATCTTCATCTTTTTTTTTTTCTTTTTTTTTTCTTTTTTCCTTTTTTGGTAATAGAGCATCTTGAAGTATTCTAGTTAGAATCTTTGATCCTAACATTCAGCTAAACTCATTAATTATTCTTCATATTTCATCCTCTCTAAATGGAGATATCTATAAAGACTATTAGAGGCTGATTACTCACGCTAATAAATCACATTTAACTACTAAACATCTTCTTAATATTTTATTTAAATTTACAATATTACTCCCCCTCGCACAATGACCTTGTTTTCATGGTCAAACTACCAATTTAATTCAATTGAGGCAATGGTCATTCATTCAACTACAATCTCAAAATCAGTTTCATATTGAGTGCCAAAACAATAAGAAAATTATCAAAGAAAATTTTAACTGACAAGTGATTGAGGAAATCCTCGAGTTCATCCCTTGATATCTATGGATGTCGCGACGTTAGCCTAGCCACAATTCAAGTTGATCAATGTTGTTTGCTGGTCATGTTGCTTCAACTGTTTGCACATCCCTCTTCTCTATATCTCCCCGGCACGCAAGGCTTGCGATGCGGTTGTTCTCTTGATGTAACAATTGGTCTTTGAGAATATTCTTGGTGATTTCAAGGGAACTGCCAAGAAGTTGGAAATTTTCTTAATTTGAAAGAATTTCGAGAACTCAATTGCTTATTCAAAGGCATTTAGTGGTTGTGATATAATGTAGGACCATTTATGTACATCGAAACAATTAAAAAACGTTACAAATCATAAGGACCGTCAACCTGGAGAAAGTCATTCTTTTGGATTATCCGTATTAAAAAATTAGGAATGTCTATTTTCGAACTCTCAATCACTATTGGGTGCTGGCTAGATATCTATTGGATGTTTCTGAGTAATGCTACGAGTTTGAAGAGGAAGGAAATCTCTTAGAATTGACATATCAGTGGGATATTGATCAGGGTACCCAGATGAGGTAGAGATCTGGTTGGGGTGAATCTAAAAGGCAGAGGGATTTTTAGACATCTTTGTTCTAGTTGTACGGTGAATTGGTGTCAATTTTATATAGTGGAAAGCATAGATGAAGGGAAAGGAGATCTAAACATGAACTGAATTTTGAATATGGAAGAGAAATCAGGAAAGGTGTTTCTTGAGGCAGAGGACTGGGGCATGAACAAGTATTGTAATTCTAGAGTGAATTTTGCTTGAGTTTCAACCGCATAATTCAGCGTGACAACGAGAGTGGAAGATAATGGAAATTCTGGGTTCAATGGTTGTTGTTCTCCAGAGATGGAAACATAATTTTTTATGATTGAAGCATCAATTTCTCAACTATGAAGCTTTTTTCAAGTCATTGGCGGATTTGGGGCTAAATCAAAGGATTTAGGCATTGAGATATGGAAAATTTTGTATGTTGCTTGGTTCAAAGATGATGAAACCTGAAGGTTGGATGAGCTAGAGCGGTGATGGTGAGGAGTATGTTCTAAACAAGAATAACTGGCTGTCGTTGTTGAACGTGGGTGAAGGATGAGAATTACAAGCATTTGCGTCTTAGACGAAGGTGGATGCATGATCTTGCAGAGATGTTCGGTGCATTTCCAACAATGCTAATCCACATCTTCAAAGAACATCTGAAAAGTGATTCTAGGATTTTTTAAATCTATATATTCCTGATTTTAATCTGTGGATAATCCACAAGAATGCTTTTGCGAGGTTGATCAGTCTTTTTATACCTTAATCTCTCTGACGTGTAACATTTTTCAATTGCATTGATGTTTATGGATGGTTTGGCAATGCTACCACCACTTATATTTGAACAAATAATTTAATTCTTTTGATTCTTTCAAGCAAATATTCTTCAAGCCATCCTCTTGAGATCATTGAACCTATTTTTGAAGATCAACATTTACATCGTGCAAGCGATAGTATTGCAAATTCATTTGTTTAGGAGATTATATTAAATTGGGATATACAAATGCTTAAAGCAACACAACTAGTTTACTTGATTGATCAATTGGAATTATGGCTGGGCTGGTGGCCTCATTTTTGTTCTGCCAGGGATGAACTCGAGAATTATCTCGAGTGCCTATCAGATTTTCTATGTTGAAATCTTTGTTCTGGTGCACGAAATGGAACCATTTTAGAGAGTGTGGCCAATTGAATGGTATTTGTCTCTGTTATATTGATTTCGACCTAAAAGACAAGGTTATTGTTAGTGGGAGAGCAATGTTATGATTTTGTGAGACATTAAGAGGATGTGTAAATTTGATTAATTAGTTAGAGTACTTTGCTTGCTATAAATATATATGATATATGATTTAAATCTTTGATTCTTTCTTTCTTTCTGGAGAGTTGGAACAAGTTAAAATGTTCTAATTAGTATTTTGGATCTTAACATAAAATTTGTATGCATACGATTGTGCATGTTTTCGGGTTCTTGTCAACAAATTGTCTCCTATCTCACAACATGATCAATTCCATTATAATGTTATTTTCTATTGACAATCTAGATATCGCAAAATAGACAATGCTTATGAATATCATTCCCCTCTATGGTGGGATGGATATCCTAGATTTGAACAGGATCATCTAGGAAGATTTACATACATATGCCTCAATTTCTATGTATTTAAATACCTAAATTTCAATTTTTACATTCATACCATCTTACCCATGCATGAAAAGGTGTATTTCAGTTGATGTCATGGTGATTATAGAAGTATATATGAAGAATATTAGAGACTTGAAGGAACAATTATCAAGGGAGTTTGAAATTAAAAATTTAGGTCCAACCAAGAAAATTCTTGGTATAACAATCAGCGGGGATTGGAATGCAGGTAATTTGAAGTTGTCTAAGGCAGAATATGTTGAGAGGGTTCTACATAGATTCAACATGAGTGAGACGAAACCAGTTTGTACCTCTTTAGGTAATTACTTCAAGCTTCTAAAGCAAAACAAACACAAATGAGAATAACATCATATGTTGTAGTAGTTGGAAGTTTGATGTATGCAATGATATATACAAGGTCATATATTGCAAATGCAGTCGTAGTGGTTAACAAGTACATAAGTAATCCAGACAAACATCATTGGGAGGCGGTAAAGTGAATTCTCATATACTTGAGAGAAATAGTCAACAAAACACTTTGCTTTGAAATTTCAAGGATTAATCTACATGTAGATTCAAATTTGACAGGAAATACAACATATTGTATCTTCATTTTGGGGAACGCAACAATGAGTTGGGTTTACAGATCGTAGAAGATTGTTGCACTATCAACTACAGAAGCTGAGTATATTGTCACAATTGAGGCTAGCAAGTAGATGATTTGACTGCGGAGCTTTATGAAAAAATTGGATAAGGAGCAAGGTAGTCAATTATTCATCTAGTTAAGAATGCTACATTTTATGTTAGGATGAAGTATATTATCACTTCATTCGTTCATTCTTAGAAGGTAGTCAATTATCTTTGGAAAAAATGCACACATCTCAAATTCTACAGATATGGTGAGTAAAATTATTACAATTGAGAAACTAAAGATATTTTTGCCTTCAATTGGACTTCAAGAAGGCTGAGACCGGAGTTGTCACACTGTAGTATATTATTATTAATACGAGAGATTTGAAGGAGAGGAATTGATTGCAATCAATTTTAAAGTGAGATTGTTATGTCTGAAGCTTGATTGTGCAATGGAGGAGCACTGGCCTGATGGTGGAAAAAGAGGAGCACCCTAGCACATGGTTGGAAGCTCCTGCACCTGGGGGAGGGAGTGGCACGTAGCTACCCAACAAAGCCTTCCAAAATTGTGAGTTGGGAAATGTGGCACCCTGGAGGAGTGCGCCGTGCTCGGATCGTTCTTTGGACTTGAGCGCTGAAAACCCAACGCTCAAGACTAGCGCCCTGGTGCCAGTAACTGTTTATAGCAGTTTGGGTTTTTAAGCCTTTGGCTTCTTTGTGAATTTGTGTGGGAATAGTGTGAAAGAGCGAAGAGGAGAGTCCGAAATTTTTTCTTAAGTCTAGGAGTGAAGAGAAATTTTGAGTTTGGTGTATACTCTGTATATTTCTCATCATTTCTTCATAGTAGATTTCTTAGTGTGGTGTGGTTTCATAATTTTTTCCCGTTATCAAGTTTTTCCACTTAAATCTTGGTGTTCTTGTGTTTTTTTTTTATATGTGCTTTTGTTCTAAGTTTTATTTTGGATCTCTTGATGTGTTTCCGCAGTTTTCATTTTCTAACACAACATGGTCATCATTATATTGATTTTTTATGTTTATTGTATCGTGTAACAGGCATGTTTTTTTTCATTATGCCTGGAAGAATTTAAAAAATATTAGTTCCATTTTAGTTTTCTCGCTTGGGAATGGAAGGTGGAGATGTTCTAGATTATGATCGACATAGGAAGAAAATTCATTTGTTCAAAAGGGCTACTTTTGTTTATTAATTTCGTTTACTAATTCAAGGTCCCTTAGGTGTTCGAGAGTCATGCAGGCTTCATAATTTGTATAGAGGTCTATGCTATAAATGGAACTTTTTGTGAACCCCTCCCTAGTTACAAGTTAGGAATGTGTATTGATGCGCTTGCAGTATTGTAGATTTATCCTGGAGTTAAAATTACATGTTATGATGGACAATTAAGCTTATTCTATTATTGTTAAGTTTTCTCACCTTCAAACTTGAATACAGATTGTTATGATAAAATTCCTTGATAAAATCTTTTTGAGGGGTATGCATTTACATAAATGCCACCCAATTCTAATGTATTTTCATACGTAACAGTTAAATGTTTCATATAGCATCAAAAATACCATCATTTTAACCTTTAAAAGTGAAATCTACCTTTTTCATGCATAGGTAAAAGGTTGCATGTATGTAAAAATTGAAGTTTAGGTGTCATTTATGTAAATACATATGAACTGAGTCGTATCCATGTAAATCTTTCTTTTTTTTTCTCTAGTCCAAATTTTTTTTCTATATCTACATTCAGGTATTGTGCGAGATTCCATATAGGAAAATGCACTGATTATTGTCATAATTTGCACTTCTGAATGTTAGTTTATGATATGTATGTTAAGATGATTATTTGTGAGTTGTGTAATTTACTACATGCAGGCTCTGGAGGCCATAGAGAAGTTACAGAACAATGTTGATACTCTTATTGTGATACCCAATGACCGACTCTTGGATATTGTCGACGAGCAAACGCCTCTTCAAGATGCGTTTTTCCTCGCAGATGATGTTCTACGCCAAGGTGTTCAGGGAATTTCGGATATCATAACGGTGAGCTGTTCTGTTCTTGAGAAAATGTCAAAATGTTCGTAGTACCTTTATAGGAAGCCATTTTAGTTCAGAGTCTATAAAATATCAATTTAGTCCCTATACTATTTTAATGGGGTCTGTTTTAGCTTTGTGTTATAAGGGTCTGGAGATTAAATTGTCACTTTTATAGGCTCCGGGACTAAAATGATCCCGTTTAAATAGTTGGGGGCTATTTTGACTTTTTTGCCCGTCAGGTAAAAAAAACTGTTTTTTTAATTTAAGCTCACTGGTAGTTAAAAAAATGCTATTTTGGCAGATTCCCGGACTGGTCAATGTAGATTTTGCTGACGTAAAGGCTATCATGAAGAACTCCGGTACGGCCATGCTCGGCGTTGGTGTTTCCTCAAGCAAAAATCGAGCACAGGAAGCCGCCGAACAAGCAACGTTGGCACCCCTTATTGGTTCTTCCATCGAATCTGCTACTGGAGTTGTGTTCAATATAACTGGTGGAAAGGACATCACTTTACAAGAAGTTAACAGAGTTTCTCAGGTGATTTTATCTGCATTTATTCCATTTCTTAAAGCCCATTTTTTTTGGCACGGATGATTCACTTATGGAAGATTTACATATATACCACTCAATTCTTATATATTACATATCTAACACCTAAACTACAATTCTTACTTGCATGTCACCTTACCTATCCATGAAAAGATGTATTTCACTTCAAAAGTTAAAGCAATGTTATTTTTTATGAGATATGAAAGATCTGTGTGGTATAAATGTAAAAAAAACAAAGTTTAGGTGTTATATATGTAAATGCATGGGAATTGGGTGGTATGCATGTAAATGCCCCCTTCACTTTTTGTCTTATTATTCCATGCCAGGTTTGATACCACAGACCTCATGTTTATCCTGAGGAAAACAGGATTTACATGCATACCACTCAGTTCTTACGTATTTACATATCTAACACCTAAACTTCAATTTTTACACATGCCACCTTGCCTATGGATGGTGTGTATTTCACTTGTTCTCATGGGGCATTTACATACATAGCACACAATACTTGTTTATTTACATATCTCACCCCTCAAGTTTCATATTATCAATTTTTAATAGTGAAATACAGATTTTCATGCATAGGATTAAAGCACCAAAGTGCTATGTAAATATGAAAGTTTAGGTCTGAGATATATAAATACATAAGAATTGTGTGCTGGGTATGTAAATTTTCCAATTTTAATTGGATTTCATCATGTGGATTGTACTCCATGGCAACATTTTTCAGGTTGTCACTAGCCTGGCTGATCCCTCTGCAAACATAATTTTTGGCGCCGTCATCGACGATCGTTACACGGGCGAGATCCACGTAACGATCATCGCGACAGGATTCTCAGAATCATTCCAGAAAACTCTTCTTACTGATCCGAAAGCGACGAAGAAATCCGAAACCCAACCGAACGAAATCAAAGTTGGATTAGCCCCCACCAACTCATCCCCGGTTACATCCAGGCAGCGTAAGCTCTTCTTCTGACAACCTTCTAAACCCAATTGATTTGTTTTCTGTGTCCAGGTATTTATGCATTTTGGTCCCTGTATTTTTGTAAATTGACAAGGCCCTCTGAAGCCTCTAGCTGAGTTTTATAGAGATCATTCCCTGCTAGGCTTGTTTGGTTCTATTATTTTTGGCTTTATGGGGACAAAAATTTGGGATTCATTTCTTATTGTGCTGTTAGTTTCTGATGTACTATATTAAAATTATTACTTTATGGATGAATGCATAATATTTTAGAAATGTTTTTGCAAATTGTGCCTTTTTTTTCATTTATTTGTTATGTTGTAGGTAAAATTAGCACCATCACATTGTCAGATGTGTGTATTGCTTCTGGTTATATGGATAGGGGCATTTACATGCATACCACTCAAATTTTATGTATTTACATATGTAACACTGATTTTTTTTTTTTAAACATTTATATCATCAAATCCTTCGTATCACATCAAAAATATCACTATTAACTTTTTCACGAGCAATACATAGGAATTGAGTGGTACATATGTAAACATGAAAACCTTCTTATTAGGATAGGACTTTTATAAATGAAGCCTTACTCCTTAAGAGCTTCACTTGTAATTTATTTATTTAATGATGATTAATACTTCATAAAATATATAATTAAAAAAAAACACTATTATAAATGAAACTAAATATTTTGAATATATTTAAAACACTCAAAATACATAAATATTATTCAAATGTTATATGAATTAATTTATTTCTAGAAATTAAAAATAAAAAAAATATTAAGAACATATAGAATAAATATATTTTTTTAACAAAAAAAAAAAACTAGATATGTTCTCAAAAATAAAACTAAAAAAAAAAAAACAATAGATATGTTCTCAAAAATAAAACTACAATAAAACAAAAACATAAAAATAATTGCAAATATATCCTAAACAAATACAATTTCAACAATTATGTACATGAATACATCAAACAAGCAACATATAAATAACTCCAAAATAGTCCCAACTTTCCTACTCATAAAAACACGTTCATTTCAACTGGCTGTATAAATGAAAATATTCCTTCACCAAACAGCTCAAACATTGAAGCTAGAAGACACCCTGCATCAACATCTTCCTTCCATGCTTGACTCAGAACAGAATTAGGTTTTGGAGCTCTGCTGTTCCCTATTTCTCGCCGGCTTCCTCCGGCGGAATTCTCGTTCGATAGGCGTCCGGGAGAAGGGGACGGCCTCATCCCTGCTTCGCTCGATGCATTGTTGTTGAACCCATCGGCGGCCAACTGAATGTTTGATGTGGTCGGCATTACTGGCATCGAGCCGACGGAGCTATCGACGGCGAGTTTTTTGAGTGGGGGAGGTTGTGCGGAGTGGTGGTTGCTTTCGAGTGACTTTCTTTTATTGCCGTCTATAGTCAA